ATGCCTTACGATCATTTTTTTCTACCCATTTACCAAAACGATAACACCTTGCAAGAACGACTTGAGCCATAGGATTGCTTTGATTATCTAAGCACCATTTGATAATATTGTCAGGATTTTGTTTTCTATTCACTAGAATTTGTTCCATTAAATCCATTGTTAACTTTAAATTTTCACACGTTAAACTTTTTTCATTGTATCCGTTATATAATTCTTTAACAATTTCACCAAAAGAATTATTCCCTTTTAAATTCAATTGGTTAAGATTGTCAATGATTTGAGTGGTTTCATTCGATAAACTAACAATTTCTTCTGGATATTCTGCAGTTAAATAATTTGACATTTTAAAATCAATAAAAATCAATCTGTTGAAGCGTTGCAGAGATACGTATTTATATTTAATCAAAGTGATACAAAAGTTGATTTTTGGCGCATCAAATGTTACGTTTTTGATAAAATTATCTTTATTTTATATTGTCGTATCAAAAATGTAGTTTGAAATTGTATTTTTAGTGTAACAAATAATATGAAAATCATTTAAGTCACCGGATTATGACAAAATCAAATGCTATTCGGTAAACTCATACACCGTACAACCGATTATCCGAGCCGAAAAAATTATTAGCCGGTTGATCTTTTGTCAAACTAGTTATAACTAGGGATGTTATCCTGCTTGCCCGAACTCGGTTCGGCCCCTGTTTGGGCCTAAACTCGATGGAACTCGAGTTTTTGTGATCACATGATTTTCATTATTAAATTTAAACTCCTGCTCAAACCGAGTTTGAAATCGATCAGATGAGCAAAATGCTTGTGATTTTTAATTAATAGGCTTTTAATTGCTATCGTAATGACGAACAAAAATCAGCTACCTGATTTTTTTAAATTAAAATTGATTTATTGTGGCATAATAGCGATAAACGCAATAAACATTACAATGCAAATTTTATATATTTTAAATATAATTTATGTATTTGCTTTAATAAATAGTTCAATAAATATGCAAAATTTTATATATTTTAAATGTAATTTATGTATTTGCTTTAATAAATAGTAATAGCGATAAGCAGGTTTTATCGAATTGCTCACGCAAGCATGCTTATTATTACATATGTATAAACTGAGTTCGGAATGTAAATGCTCCGAAACAGTGTTCCAACGAGTTTTTGAGCACAAACTGACCGGTTGGAGCAGGATAACATCACTAGTTATAACATCCGGTTGATTAACAAATATTTGGTTGACCTGGATATCTAATTAATAAATTGTTCTACAATAAGTTTGTTCCTGTCTAAATTAAATGGCTAACAATAAAGTTTTTATCTAAATCTAACATAGCAAAGCAACTTGGCACAAACTTACCCAGTTATCTTCATTCAACGATACAATCTGATATGTACGATTTGGATCCCTACAGGGATTCCTGATCGGCTAGGTCGAAATTGGCCAATTTTACCCAAAATCACTAAAAATTTTACTGACGAAATCATAGACATTCATTAAGTAAAAAAAATGCCTAACTGATAATTTTGCTATAGACTGTGCTATTGCCAATTGCCTGCCTAGCTTCAATGCCTTCTGACCCGAAATTTTGGGATCCAGATAAACAGATATTTAGTAAAGTAGTATATACTATATGGCGGTTCAGATTTAGACAGGCATCGAAAATTATTGTGGGATGATGCTGAAATTGATTGATATTGAAAGTTGTGTTTTTATTTGAAAAATAAGCTCTACTAAAATCTATATATATGTTTTAATTATCATTTATACTAATTTTGATTATATAGATAATTAATATAGATTTATAAAATTTAATTTTTGTAAACAACTCTTAATAATTGAATTTATAACAGTGTTATTATTTTTTTTTCATTATGAAAGAACAGATAGTAGAAAAAAGTAGCTTTGAATTCACAAAAACTTTTTTTACAAACAATAGGCCAGTATAAAAAGATTTGTATTTCAAAAAATTTTTAATTTTGATACTGAATTTTAAAATTTTAATTAAATGTTTAAAATTTTTATTACAAACAAAGTAGGTTTTAATTTAGCGGATACTCCTTAGTATAGGTGGGTTAATCTAAAAAAATAATGATAAAAATTCTCATTTAGTATAGGTGGGCAAACTCCGATATTGCAATTAACTATTAGAGGTAAACAAATTTATATAGCTTTGTGATAGTTAAAATCATAGTTTACAGAACGATAGCTAAATATATGTGACAGTTAAATTTTAAGATTTAGTAACTCAGTAATAGTTAAATATTCATATTTTTTCTATTATCGATTATAAATTACATAAATACATTTTACTTTATTTATATATTTTATTATTTTTTTTATTAATTTAAAAGTTATTCTAATTCAAAGCATAGATTAAAGAATTATATATCTACTTCGGAAACCTTTTTCCTATAAAAAAAGATTTAAAATAATATTTCGGCTTCTCCCAGGTTATCGTTCTAGAAAATACTCTTTTTCTGATTATTTCCGTAGAATCCTGATAATTTCCGGGTAAAAATCAACTTTAGATTGTATATGTCTTCCAATTTTAATGAAATATTTAGAGCCAAACATTACCCGGAAATCATCAGGATTCTACGGAAATAATCAGAAAAATGGAACGATAACCTGGGAAAAACCATGTATGTTTTTCAAAAATGTTATAGCGTTTACAAACTACGTCATATTCTAGAGAATTTAATTTAGAAATGTCGATAATATTCCAACATGAACGACATTAGTCAATTCACATAATACATTACAATATTCAGTAATAATCGGAATCAGAAATTTTTAAATCAAAAATGTCGATTCGATAAATGGACAAGTGGTAATCTAGATATTAATAACTTTATTCAACAAATGCAATTTGAGCATAGTATATTCTAGAGATATCGAATAAATTTCTTTACAAATATAAAGCATCTTACTAAAGAAGATTTCGGTTCTATTTTTAAAGCCATATGGGCGGATGGATATATTCTATATTGGAAGAGAGATTCGCAAGCAATGTTGTTGAAAAAGTCTTAATAATTCTAGAGAAGATATAAAGGGAGAATATTTAAATGAGGTAAGAATCATCGATATATATATACCAAATGCGTTGGTATATTCGTTTATTCTAATCAACATGTTAGGTTGGAAATCAACATAAACATAGGGTGATTCAGCAATCTGGAATAATTAGGAGTATGTAATGCCACCTTATTGTTACATGAGAAAAACACATAAAACAAATTTATTATGGATTTATATCGTTTTTAACTATTCAATCAGTTTAAAAAGTGACTGAAATAATTATTTCAAATCCTGAGGTTGCAAAGTCATATCCAGAAGGTAGAAATGAACACTTCATCTTTGTATAAACTTTGAAATTTTGTCACATCGCCATTTAGAATTAATGTCTTCAAATACTATTAACAAATGGTTGATCTTATTCAAGAGGAATTGTTAATTGGATTGATACTCTTAATAGGTTAACGAATGCACTATTATTACTTTCAGGAAATTTTCTTAATTATGCTATAATAGGTATAACAAATATATTATCAAACCAAGTCTATAATAGTGAATATTATTTTTTGATCATGAAAGGTATTCTTTTATTATTGTGATGACTATTAAGCCTGAACAATTATGTATTATTTTACTTAATTTGAAAAGATTTTTAATATTTTAAAAAAGCCAGTGTATATGTTGTACGTTGCTCTTAAATAACCATTAATTCAAAATTAACGTACCTGAGTTTAAAATTTATACCGATTAAAATGTAACTTACGTAGTTTTAAAAATTAAACGATTAATATGTACGTACGTCAATTAAAGTTATATGAGTCTAATAAATTAGGCTGATTATAAAAAAAAAAAAAAAAAAAAAACATTCGTTATCTTTCATAATATGGCTTCAAATTCTTCGCTTTTTTCATTTCTTTCATTTCGAAGCTTTCAAAAAATCGTTGATGACTACATGAACAATAGAAAAAACGAAAGACATATAATGAATCGTTCAAAGTATGATCGTTGCCTGGCTATTTTACAAAGCCCGTCAAGTAAACATGAAAATTCAAACTTTAAATATTGGGCCCTTAATAGCTTCAAATTAATTAATGTTGGAATTATCGACGAACTGCATGTTAAATCTGATAAACATAATCGTGGTACTCAAGTTTGCCCGATTGAAGATTTTATACTGTTATTTGCAAAGCCCATCAAGACATAGAACATGGCGGGCAAGATAAAACTTGGTTAAAAGTAATTAAAATTTTTTTTTAAATAAATAAAATAAAATTACATGTGTAATATTTAATATATATAATTAATAGATCCGTCAAAGATATTGTTTTATACCCCAAACAATTGTGGATAATGCCATGGCAATGTAATGTTTGTACAACACGTCATGCAACTAAGCATGTTCCAGCAATGAGACCAATCATCGCTACAAAATTCCTTGCACATGTTCAGGTAAATTTATTAAATTATTATGTGAAATTTAATACAATTAAATTTTAATTTTAATAATAAAATTTTTTTAAAGATCGATACTATTAATATGACAGCTGTGCCAGATGGCGAATTTAATTATATCATACATATAAGAGATCATTTTACATGATTCTCATATGCAGAGCCTGCAAAATCAAAATTAGCAGAAGAGGCTGCAGATATTTTCTTACAGTTCTGTTTAAATTATGGTCCACCAACTATTTTACATACAGATAATGGTGGTGAGTTTGTTGGAAATATTATGAAAGAAACTGTAAAACTCTGGCTGGCAATTAAATTTATACATAAAAAGCTGAGGCACCCACAGTGCCAAGGATCTGTCGAAAAAGGCAATGATATACTTCAGTCTAAATTAGGATCATGGATAGAAGAGACTAAACGTAGTGATTGGAGCATTGGATTATCTTTTGTAATATGTGTGTATCTTTATTATATATATAATTCTTTATAATTTTATAATAACATTATTTAATTGTATAAATTATAGAGCAATGAATATTCAAGAATGTAAAGCAACAAAAGCTATGCCATATCAATTGGTGTTTGGACAAGAAGCATGTTCAAATTTATCAATAATCTCTATGTTTTATCAGCAAAATATTATACACGAAGAAAATATTCCATTAGAGAATCTACCATCTAATAATGATATTCAATTGTCTAATCCTCCTATTCACAGTGATACTCAATCATCTAATCCTATATATAGTGATACTCAATTATATAATTCTATTTATGATGATACTCATTCATCTAATTCTACTTATGATGATATTCAACTATCTGATATTACTTATGTGATATTCGATTATCCAATTTTATTTATGAAAATAATAATTAAAGTAATTTTTTTTTTTTTTTAATTTCACAACACTAATTATTTTATAAAATTTTAGCTTCAGAGCCTTTATACCATAGTAATAATGATAATGTAATTGTAATTAGTGATGATGAGGAAAACGATTCTGAATATAATGCTAATCGACAAGAAAAGGGTAAACAGGTTAAACGGGATATAATTGATGATGTGAATTCAAATATATTTAATTAAATCTTTTTATATATTTATATATTTAATAAAATTACTTTAATTTATTAATATGTGTTTTATAATTTATTAGCTTTCATTAGTTTTTAATAATGCTATAGATTTAGATGACGAAGATTTTACCCAATTAAAGACAATAATATAGCTGAAAATTTATCTCCTATACCATCAAATTCTTTATTTAAAAATTATTCTTGTGCAAGTTTTAGTCAACATGCACAATTAAGAGAAGCAACAAATCAACATGTTACTCAAAACCGTCAAATGATTTATAATCTTATAGAAAAATGA